TAATGTGTAAATAATGTTTCAAATGAGCTGGAAACTTGGATCAGGCATTTTGTATTTGGGAACGTGAGTAGCCATCTTGTGGCAGACAAAGGCTTAATGGGAGTTGCCATACTGTTGTCTTTCAGTATCCAGTACTCCCTTTAAACTGTAAAACAGCTGCTATGCTTGATGTGATTCTAAAATATATTAACTACATTTTCAACTTTTTTTTCTCCTTGATGATTCTATAGTATATCTTATTTTGCATAATACCCTAAAGGGTGGTAAATTAGAAGCCAGTAATTATTGGATGGCAGTAAATACAAACTTGACATTTGCAACTCGGGCTTGATTTGAACAGCTAAACTTTGCAACTTCCACGACTGGTGGGCTATGTCAGGGTGGTCCAACCTTTTGGCTGCCACAGGCTGGATTCCCTATTTGAGAAGGGTCTGCAGGTCCACAGCCCTTCCAGAAACATGATGTTTACACAGCACCTTTTTTACATTGAAAAGACATCTCAAACCGCTTAACATTGTAGGCTGGGAGCCAAGAGAGGTGGGGTGGTGAGGGGAAAAGATGACTGAAAGCATGGTAAAAGAGCTAGGTCTTGACTTGCCTTGTAAGACGTGCCCATGGAAGACGATCTCCCCGCAATCCCTCTCCGCGGCCCTGGAGTACACTGAACTCCTCCGACCTCTTGCACCAACCCATTCGCTGCGCTTACTTTTCTCCACAGCACCCTCTCCACCAAACTCGACGCCCTTGCCCCTCTCTCCTCCTGAACTGCTTCCTATTCCCGATCCTCACTCTGGTTCACCAGATACCTCCGCTTCCTTAAGGGCCAGGTACGGGCTGCCGAATGCACTTGGCTCAAATCCGGCTGGACCTCATCAAACTCTACCGTTCCGCTCTCACATCGGCCAAATTGTCCTTCTATTCCAGGTTAATCCTGGAAGCGAAGGGCAACCCCAGGCTCCTGTTCTCCACCACCAACCGGCTCCTCCACCCTCCCCACCACGCCTCGCAGATTCTTTCCTCTGACTCCCACTGCGAGAAAATGCTGGACTTCCTTGAGTCCAAAATCGAGGGAATGTGCTCAGCTGCCACTGCCCTCCCAATTTCTACCCCCTCCCTACTCACCCCCCCACACTTCCAACAACAACAACAAGATTCCATTTATAGAGAGCCTTTCACGTCGGGAGGACGTCCCAAGGTGCTGGACACTTGGGTCAGGACCCGAGCAGGGGGGAAATGGTCAGGGTGAGAGAAGGGAGGGAGCGAGGAGGGGGTAGAGAATCGAGAGGGGAGCTGAAGGCACGGTCAAAGAGAAAAGTCTTGAGACCGGCCTTGAAGGAGGAAAGGGAGGAGGCGGCGAAGACACTGGGGGATGGAGTTTCAGAGCCCTTCCCTCCTTCCACACCTTTGAACCTCTCACCTCCTCCTCTGTCTTCACAACTATATCATCCATGAAGCCCACCACCTGCTCCCTGGACCCCATTCCCACCCCTCTCCTTAAATCTCAGCTCCACCTCTTTGTCCCACTACTCGCTGACATCATCAACCTCTCCCTGTCATCTGGCACTGTTCCTACCCCTTTCAAAACAGCCACTATCACCCCCACCTTGAAGAAACCTTCCCTTGACCCATCACAGCTATCCAGCTACCGGCCCATTTTCAAAGCTCCCTTTCTTGTCCAAGGTCCTTGAGAGAGCCGTTGCCTCCCAGCTCCGCTCTTTCCTCTCATCCCACTCCCTCTATGAACCCCTCCAATCTGGTTTCCGTGCTGCCCACTGGTGCTGCTCTGGCCAAGGTCACAAACGACATCCTGATATGTTCGACCAGGGCTCCCTCTGCCTCCTTGTCCGCCTCAATCTCTCCGCCACCTTTGACACCGTGGACCATTCAATCCTCCTCCACCGCCTCTCCTCCCACCTCAACCTTCAAGGTTCTGTCCTTTACTGCTTCAGGTCCTACCTTTCAAACCGCCTCAACTTCGTCGCAGCAAACGACTTCTACTCCAACCCCCGCACCGTCTCATGTGGTGTTCCTCAGGGCTCTGTCCTCGGTCCCCTCCTCTTTACCCTCTACATGCTCCCCCTCGGTGACATCATCCGCAGACATGGGGTAAATTTCCACATGTATGCGGATGACACCCAACTCTACCTCTCTGCCTCCACTCTCAACTCCAGGACTACTGGCGTCCTGACCGACTGCCTGTCCGACATCAAGTCCTGGACGAGGGACAACTTTCTCCAACTCAACGTCAGCAAGACCGAGGCCCTCCTGATTGGCTCGCGCCAGTGCCTCCGCACCTTAGGCGCTGGCAGCATCAGCCTCCACGGCTGCACATTCAACCTCACTAAGCCAGTCAGGAACCTGGGTATCTTGTTTGACTCTGAACTATCCTTTCTCTTCCACATCTGTGCCATGACTGGTACTGCCTACCACCACCTCCACAACATTGCCAGACTCCGCCACTGCCTCACCCCTCAGGCCACCAAAATCCTCACCCACGCATTTGTCACATCAAGGCACGATTACGGAAACCGTTCATCGGGCTCCAGTCTGCTCCATGTCTCCCGCCCTACCATCAATGGCCTAACTTTCAGCCTTTCTGCCCCCACACTCTGGAACTCCATCCCACAGTCCCTTCACCTCTCTTCCTCCCTTGCCTCCTTCAAGGCTGGTCTCACGACCCTTCTTTTCGATCATGCCTTTGGTCGCCCTCCCACCTCTCTGCCTTCCCTCACCCCTACCCCACCCCTCCCCCATGCTCGGGTCCCAACCCCTGACTGTCCAGCGCTTTGGGATATCCTCCCGAAGTGAAAGGCACTCTATAAATATAATTTTGTTGTTGTGGTGGTGGTGTAAGAGGGGAGGGAGCGAGTAGGAGGGACTCCAGTAATAGAACTCCAAAGAGAGGGGGAAACATGGCGATGCTGGGGCAGATGGGGTGGTGGGTATGAAGCAAGTTGGTATTTTCTCCATAAAGGGAACGGCCAGGTCGGGAGTTTGTAGAGGTAAGGTGGGGAAGGGAGGTGGAATGAAGGACATGGAGAAGTTTTTCACTGGGGAAAGAGGGAGCCTTCTGTGAGGAAACTGCACAGCACGCAGCTTGGTGTCTGTCCTTGGTCTCTCCCGCAACGGCAGAGGGAGGCTCTGATCGTCTGTCCTGACAGTGAATGGCTGAACTCTGCCCTCACTTCTCTCTCAGTTCTGTCACTCTTTCTCTCTCTCTTGCTCTCATGTTCTCTCTCACCCTCGCACACATTCTCTCTCCCTCTCTCACGCTCTCTCCCTCTCACACTCTTTCAGTTAACCTCTCTCTCTGCTCTAACACCCTCTCTCTCCTTAACTAAATAAATTCCATAAATTTCCAAGGAAGAAGGAAAGTTGGAGACTACAAAATATGGCGGAGGTTGAAGGTTTGTCTCTTGAGGATAGTAGGAGAGATATCTATTCTTTGAGACCAATGTGGCTGATGAGGAAAAGGCATATAATAGATCATACTTAGAGCTATAATGTTGTTATGGCAAAGTTGTAAGAATAGTGGATTAATCATAGTAAATATTAATCGTAGCCTTGAAGAAGTAATTAACTGAAGTAGCTTTGAAATGCTTCAACTAATTAGGCACCAGTTTGATGTATCCCAACCACACAATCTTGGCGAGAAACATGATTGAACCAAACTATAGTGTCCAATCTGGTGGTTTGTGAAAAATAAAATACAGCATAAAGCTTCCCTTGCTTGTCAGGGAAATGGGCAGACTAACAATCTGGCAGATTCCCTATCCCAGGGGAGCTGAAGCCTATTTTAGAGCTCCAGCTAACTCAGCAGAAGAAATTAGAACTGCAATTTCTGTTTTTTTATGCCTGGTGCTGCATTGGGTAATGTTTTACCCACTACTACGAGACCATTGGAAAGTGAAAGGTTTTCTTGATGGATCATAGAGGTGATTGAGGTAGAATTAAATGGAAGTTGGGTTAAAGGAGATTCAACATATATTGTTGCAGGACTAAGTGATAAGAGGAAATGTTTATGAGAGAGGTTTGGTTGAATGAAGAGTAGGGATAAGAGAAGATTCAGAAATGTAGTTGTGCACCTTTGGCATTGGACTTGGATCTGTTGAATGTTAAGGTGCCCGGCATGTCACAAGCAGTCCTGTAGATGACCTCACACCATGTTGAAGGCAGATGTCTGTCAGATAGGTGATGAGGAAACTTTGATGCTTGGGACGACAACTACTGGAAAGATATTACCAGGAGTCTGGGTTCATGAATACAAGTTCATATATCCAAGTCTTGGAATCCATCTTGATTGGCTTGCAGAGAGATAAGCAGCTGCTGCTTAAACTCTGCACCTCCATCTGGTGGACCATCGTTCTATGCGTAGGGATGCGTGTCTGAGCTGTGGGTCAGAACATTGTGGCAATGCTTTAATGCGTTTCATAATGAGCTGTGCTAGTCAGCAGAAAGCTCACGGGGAGTTCCTAGTATCTGCCATCCACCCAGTGACGGCTCAAGCCTGCTCTTGTTGGATGTCAAATGACCAAGTTGCAACTATATTCTTGAGGTTGTGGGGGAATAAAAGGCAAGTGGGGTCTCCTTGGAGATGAACTGGCTCCAAGTTGACATGCTTGGCAAGAGAATGCTGAAGTCGAGTCATTTCTCTGTGGTGACCTCTGTAGTCCGGTTTCAGAGCCAAGATCTATATCAAATGCAACGATTTTTATTATAATATGGAAAACTGTTTTGATGACCAGCGGAAGAATGCTCCTGTGTTTGTTCACAGAATTAAATCTAGAATAGCCATTGTGTGTGTTATATATTTTTTAAAATGACGAGAGGCAGGAATATTTATTTGGCAGCCTGAGGCACTGCTGCTTGATAGTGAAAACTGATATTGGGACTTATTGTGATTGGCACACTTGCCTTAAGAGAGTCACAACTACAGTTCACTGATGCTTAGGAGGAAGAGCTTTCACACCAATGTGGCCTGCTCGCATCCATTTGTTCAGTACAAGATAGACAGAAGACCCCGATGGCAGTAGCTCCTTTGCTCGCCTGAGAGATTTCTGGTTAAGTCAACTCAATACAGCTGTCTCCCGCATGGATGATTGGCCATGAGTCAAATCTGATGGTGAGTTGCTCTTTTACCAGCTCCAGAACCTAGTTACAAAAAGCATGTTTATTGTTTGTGGGATGTTGCTGGCGCCAATTAACTGCTATGTTCATCTACACAACATTCAATGCAAAATCTGTTTATTTCTGGATCATTGCCGTACTTTTTTCTATGTTGTCATTAATTTAGGTTCTGTCTGTCTTGCAATTCAAGTGAATGCTATGGGATCCTCCTGCTATTTTAACAAAAAGTGTTTTATCTTGTCTTGCACTTCCTTATATGAATACATCCACTAATTTGATTTAATTGGCAAATTGATTAATTGTTTGTAGGAAGTTGTTGGTGTAAATTAGTTGCTGTATTTGCCGACATAAGATTTTATTTTGTAAAGTGTTTTGATAGATTTATTTTAAGTGAAAGGCACTGTATAAAAATAGCTAATGACTGTTCAGCATCTTGGGACATCCTTCCAATGTGAAAGGTGTGATACAAATGTAATTTTGTACTGTAGACAGCTGAAGCCTACTGAGAGTTACTTAGATTAGTGGCATCTTGAAACACTATCACATGCTAAGTAGAAGTGATTTTCCCCCCACCCCACACATGTTGGTGCCCCTTAAAACACTATACAGCATTTTTTTTAATAGTAACTCAAATTGCTTTGGTCTACCTCTTGAATGGGAAATCTTAATTTACCAATTGCATTCAACTCCCGATAGCACAACACTCCCAATGGGAAAGGGCTAACCGAGTTATCCAGAGTGGCGAATTAGGCATAGATTCTTCCAGGCTACAAGGGGGCACTATGACTGGTGCAGGCTGGGCGCACATGTTCAGATGCATCACAGATGCTTCTGGTCTATTGAAGGGCCTCCCTATCCAGTCACAGGATAGGGTGGGAAATGAGGCAGGAGGCCACGTCGGGGCAGAAGGTCCCTGTAATGCATCTGAGCATGTGCACCCAACCTCCGGAAAGGCCGGGAGGTCTCTGCATTGCAAGATGCCATTTTATAGGACGAGTTATCTGATCAATTTTGCATTGTAAGCTATTTGTAAGCTGCATGTTAAGCGGAGTGTTAGTCCTTTATTAATTTTTGCATGGGAATCAGCCGGGATGTTGACAGCATGGCTACTTAAGTGGTAGTGACTTGTTAAATCAGTGTCTTGTTATCAAGATTCAACTGCAACCCCTGTAATCTATTTATATGGCTCCCAAAGATACCTAATCAAATATTGTACAACAAATTTAACACCTGCATGGAAGGTTAAATATTCAACTTTGAACTAACTTGGACATCAGATGTGAATAATGGCATGAAATAGCTAGTCTTGATTGGTAAGGCTGGTTATTTCTTGAAAAAGAGTTTAAAAACATTCATTGTGTTTGAGCGGGAAATAGTCTAATTTTTGAATCAAATGCACAAAACTAGTGAACTTTGATTTACTCAATTAATTTCATTTTCTTTACAATTATCAGGTTCCTTTAAACATAACTGAAAAGTGGATGACGTTTCTGTGGATTATCTAATCTGAGAAAAATCATGGCTTTGGCTGGTTGTCCTGACTCCTTTCTGCACCATCCTTATTACCAGGTTGGTCCATTATTCATTTGCCTTGATTATTGTTTATGTTACTGACAAAAATCAAAGTAAGGGTGCAATGCAGGAGTCCTGTAGCTCAGTGGTTAGTGCACTCGCCTTGCAAGCGAGAGACCTGGGTTTGATTCCTGGCAGGGCGAAGCCTTGGGCAAGTTTCCCTACTCCGCACACCTGATAATAATCCCTCAAGAAAAAAAACAATAATAAAATTGGTCACTTCAATCCATGACTGTTTGTGGAACACTGCTGTGCGCAATTGGCTGCCGCATTTCACCCACAAAATATACAGCCAGTTCACTTTACAGTATATTCTGCGAAGCGCTTTGAGACATCTAGAAGACATGAAAAGCGCTATATCAAATGCAATGATTGTTATTATTATTAATGGTTATCAAATAAAGAATATGGGTCAGTAATGGCTCTACAGTCTTGGATTTGTTCACTTCTATTCTTGGATTCCAGCACATATACATCTTGTTAGAATAAGTAGATTCAGAAGATTTCTGAAACACTACAGATGCCCATATCTTAAAGGATTTCATGCAACTGACTTGGTTCAGGATGGGGAGAGGAAAGGTAGCTGAAAGCATGGTTGAAGAGATGAGTTTTAAGGCAGATTTTTAAGACTTAGAAGTTAGGGGCAAGGCAGAGAATACTCTGGGATGGATTTCCAGAGAGTGGGGCCACACTGGCTGGATATTCATCCAACAATGATACATTACATTCGATTATAGCACCTTTCACATTGGGAGGACATCTCAAAGTGATTCAGAGAATATACTGAAACAAAAACAGAAGTCGCTGGGAACACTCAGCAAGTCAGGCAGCCTCTATGGAGAAAGGAAAGTGAGTCAACATTTCGGGCCCACGACCCTTTGTAAAAACGTTTTGGGCCCACGATCCTTCGGAGTAAGGATAGAGGTAGCAATGGGTGGTTGGGCAGAGAAGGTGGTTGACGGTAGAGAAGAGCAGGCTGGGATGACTTCAGATTTTGCTGAGACAAGGGTATGAGGATGGACTTTGGCGATGGACTGTGAGGGCAGATTTAAGCTATGAAGTGGAGGTGGATGTTGTAGTGGGGTTATTGCGGGAATAAAAAGTGGTGGTAAGAGATTTGGTAGAGCTGAGGGTGTTGAGGATTGGCAGCGAGAGTGTTATAGGTCCCAGGAAGACGTGACATCGAGACAGGTAGAGGGCGAGAGGGGCAGGAGTTTGGAGAAAATTTATGAGGGAAATGGGGGATATTGTTTCCTAGGCCAAGAATTAGAATACATTAGAATATACAGCACAGAAACAGGATATTCGGCCCAACTTGTCTATGCCAGTGTTTATGCTCCACGTGAGCCTCCTCTGCCCTTCCTCAACTAAACCTTCAAGCATAACCTTCTATTCCTTTCTCCCTCATGTACCTATTTGGCTTTCCCTTAAATACATCTATGCTATTTGCCTCAACAACTCCTTGTGGTAGCAAGTTCCACTATGTGAAGAAATTTCTTCTAACTTCCCTATTTGATCTATTTGAGACTATTTTATATTGATGGCCCTGGTTTTGGTCTTCCCCGCAAGTGGAAACATCTTCCCTATGTCTACCCTATCAAAACCTTTCATCATTTTAAAGACCTCTATCAGGCCACCCCTTACCCTCCACTTTTCAAGAGAAAAGAGTCCAAGTATGTTCAGCCTTTCCTGATAGGTATAACCTCTCAGTTCTGGGATCATCCTTGTGAATCTCCTTTGCACCCTCTCCAGTGCCTCTACATCCCTTCTATAATGTGGGAACCAGAACTGCACACAGTATTCTAAGTGTGGTCTAACCAAGGGTCTATAGCAGTTTACCATAACTTCCCTGCTTTTCATTTCTATCCCTTTAGAAATGAACCCCAATGCCTGGTTTGCTTTTTTTTATGGCCTTATTAACCTGTGTTGTTACTTTTAGTGAATTGTATATGTGTGCCCCTAAGTCCCTTTGCTCCTCTACCCCTAATTGGCGGTAGTTTTGCTGGTAGAAAGGGGGGTGAAGGGGTTAAGGAAAATGAAGTGGTCAGAATGGCCTATGAGCCAATAAAAATAATCTTTGGAAAACAGTGATTGTTAATATTATATTTCAGCTACTGCAACAAAATGTATGTTTTGTGTGTTGGTATAGTGAAAAGATCCAATGCTGCCCATCAGATAAAATTCATAGTTTTCTGATTTATGTGAGAAGCTGTTCAGACAGCTTAAATAAATTCAGGTCACAGTTGCTAGATTTGCCTATTTGCTGAATCCATTATTATTTGAAGTCATTATTATAAAATGTATACTGCGCCCTTCACATGGGGTAGCGCCCTGGAATTTATTAATTGATCAGCACAAAAGGCATAATTATGAATTGTAATATATTTAATGTTATTTGATTATTGTTATAACCTTTTAATAATAATAATAATCCTTGCATTTGATATAGTGCTTTTCACGTCGGGAGGACGTCCCAAAGCGCTTCACAGAACACACTGTAAAGTGAATTGACTGTATATTTGTGGGAGAACGCGGCAGCCAATTGCGCACAGCAGTGTCCCACAAACAGTCGTAGATTGAAAATGACCAATTTATTATTGTTTGGGGTTTTTGAAGGGAATATTAAGAAAGAGGCACAACTCAAGCCTCAAAAGAAGGAAAATTAACAAGTTTATTTACTTTGCACAGAATTGTGTATATATGGAATGGACTACTGATGGTGGAGATGGAAAAAGATTGTGTCAGCAAATTGAAGAGGCATGTGGATAACAAAACCTTTGATAGATTTGAGCAAGATGGGATTATCCATGCAGTTTAAATTTAGATATTTTTGAAGTATGGAAAGGTGTGGTTGGATGGCGGCTGCCACTCAACATCAATTTTTGTGGAGTTTTGTAGTTCAGTGGTTAAAGCACTCGCCTCGCAAACGAGAGACCTGGGTTCGATTCCTGGGCAGGGTAAAAAGTTGGTCAAGTTTCCTTAATCCACATGCCTCTTGTTTACCACGCAGTAAGTAGAAACTTAGTTGATAGTCAATTGGCAGATCATTTTCTGGGGATAATGGTCCCTTTTTTAAACAAAAATTAATGATTTGGTCACTCATTCCACTACTGTTTGTGGGACACTGCGGTCGGTGCGCAATTGGCTGCCGCATTTTGTCCACAAAATATACAGTCAATTCACTTAGCAGTGTATTCTGTGAAGCAATTTGAGATGTCCCGAAGACGCAATGAAGCGCAATATCAATTGCAAGGATTATTATTATTAGCTGGTTAGCACAATAGGAGCTCTACTTTGAATTTTTTTTTAACCAGAGTAATATGATCCGGTTTACCAGACATCGAAAGCTGGAGATTGCATGTGCAATCTAGCTTTGAGGACATTGACTTTGAAAACGGTGTTGTGGAGAAGCCTCCAGCACATTCCAGTTGATTCGCAGACATAGGGTTCAATTCCACATGTATGTGGATGACCCTCTACCTCTCTGCTTCCACTCTCCACTGCTAGATCACTCTTCTGACCAATTGTCTGTGAACATAAGTTCTGGATGAGAAACTTTCTCCAGTTGAATGTCAGCAAGATTGAGGCTCTAATGCTTGCAACCACCAGTGCCTTTGCACTACAGACAGAAGTCCCTTTGTTTCTATAACCAACCAGGTGATCGGGACTTTGACCTCAACTAGTCTTGGCTGGTCCCGAGGCAGTGTTGTATTGTTGGAGGTGCTGTCTTCAGATGAAATGTTAAACTGAGGTCCCATTTGCCTGTTCAGGTGGATGTTAAAGGTCCCATGGCATTATTGGAAAAGAGAACAAAGTTTCTCCCAGTGTCCTAGCCAACAATTCCCAGATTATTTCATTCACTTCATGATTGCTTGTGGCACATTGCTGTTTCTAAGTGGACTGCTGCGTTCAACAACAAATACAGTTCCTACACTTTACAGTATATTCTGTGAAGTGTTTTTGAGATGTTAAAGGCACTATATCAAATATAAGGATCATTATTAATATATAGTAAACCCCTGGTTTACCAGACGCTGGATATCTGGAATTCATACCTCAACCAGGCCAAGTAAACTAATGTTCCTGTTAGTCTTCTTGCTCATTATGAAAATCATTGACTTGAGCATCTCAAACTGTTCTGATGCATTCTGAATTATATCCAGCAAAGAATGTACTACACTGACTACATCGTTGTATCATCGTTCCCTGACGTTTGTGACAATTGTGGCATTCTTCTGCAGTAGTGCTGCAGCTAATAATTTGAAGCCAACCCTGGGGCCACAGACAGTAAGGTGCTAGCAGGAAGCAAATTTAGATACAGTGGATGCAGTTAAGTCAGACATGTTGGGTCAGGGCCTTTTGCCTGAATTAACCTGTATCCAAAGATATTAATTGTTTTTTTAAAAAATTACCTCATTTCCACCAACCTACAGAAGAGAAGGTTGAGGGGCAATATGATTACAGTCTAAGATTCTAAAGGAACTAGAAAATGTAGACCAAAATAAGCTGTTTTATTTTGTACTGAACAGTAGAACCAGAGGAGACGGCCTACGATTGAAGGGGGCTAAATTCAGAACGAATCTGTGGAAACACTACTTCAGTGAGCGAATAGTAAACTTATGGAACAGGCTTCCTAAATTCTCTTATGGGTTAGGTGAGATTTCTGGCACTGGCACAATGCATGTGTGGCTACAGAATCTGCCATGTAGTTGGACAATCCTGAACTTGCAACTTGCAAGTGCAGCGGAGGCCGCTTAATTCGGACAAAATGCCAGATCCCATTTGTTTCTATTGTAAAATATTTAAAATAATCTGGTTAACTATGGTCAAAAATCCAGTTAATCCAGACAAAATGCCACACTGATAGTTGCCCCTGCATCAATTCATATCTGCATTCTGGGCGATTCAGTCTGGAGTGGCTCCACTCAGACTCCATTCAGTTCCTCAATCAATGAGTGAGGAACAAAGAGGAAATGAGGGAGGCAATAAAAACATAAGTATTTGCTAGGCGAAAGAAGGTCACTCCAGTTCGCCTTCCACCAGTCGCATAACATGTCTTGTCCCAAACTATAAATTGTATATCGAGATATTATTTCCACTGGATACTTCCACTGAGCAGTCCTGTAGCTCAATAGTTAGAGCACTCGCCTCGCAAGAGACCAGGGTTTGATTCCCGGCAGGGTGAAACCCTGGGCAAGTTTCCTCACTCCACACGCCTGATAATAATCCTTCTAGAAAAACAATTGTTCACTTCAATTCACGACTGTTTGTGAGACACGGCTCTGCAATTTGCTGGTGTGTCTTACCCATAAATATACACCAATTCGCTTTACAGTATATTCTATGGAACACTTTTGAGATGTCTAGAATACTTGAAAAGCGCTATATCAAATGCAAGGATTATTATTATTATTTTTCCTAATAGAAATCTGTCTAATTTGTTCATGAATGAATCGATGCTTTCTGCTGCTTGTCCAGCTAAACTTAATGTTTCATTCAATGCCTCAAATTGTTCCCCCAAGGAATTCAAGCAATTATTGGCCCAAAATACTATCTGGATGTTTGTTTAAAAGTCCTTTTTACATTTGGAAATGGTATTATTGCAATCATTATTACCTTCACTGAAATTTGTCATAAATTGCTGCAATAGAGCTGTGAAGAGACACTACCATTTTTTTCTGCTCAACCAGGTATCTGACACATGCAAAAACCCATCACTATGCTTAAAAATATTCAAACCAGAGTGAAAGTTCCATGATGCCACCTACACGTGGAAATCCCCATCCCAATGGGATATTGTCTGTCTCCCTGGAACAACGCACGTTGCTTACAAGAGCTAAAGCTTGGAGACTCCAGAATGTGCCTGTTCAGATATTGTCAGAATTTAATCAGCTAAAGCAGCATGGTCTGTCTTTAAAAGCACTGTCTGGCAAGCTTCCCTGCTGCTTATCCAAGATAGGACCACCAAACGTAAGGCTGACGGTAGCTGAGTGGGAAGAATCTCAGCATCCAGTGTCTGGTTTACACCTCCAGGTCCTGCTAATGAGCCCGGATGGCTGGTCTGTCATCATCAGTCCCCTGGAGGACTGCAGACATGAATGGCTCAGGAAAGGCACTACTAAGGTTCTCACCTATGATTGATTTGATTCAAAGCAAAGCAAGTCAATTTAGAGCCAGTTTATTTCCAAGAAGACCTCGCTTTCCCCTTCCCTGCGAGATTCCTGGTGAGCAGCACACTCAGAGTAAAATACTCAGCTGTGCTGCTACACCTTTTACCACATGTAGACGTTATCAGGTTATTTGCAGTCGCCCCCCCCCCCCCCCCCCCCCAAACCCAGGTGTTTTACTCTTGTTTTTGCAAATTATTGATTACAAGAGGACCTCTATCCAGTTATAATTGCCATTCTTCTTGCAGGCTCTATACTGGGGGAGGAAATAACCAAAATCACAGTTGAAAAGATAAGTCTTAAAGGGCTTTAAAGATGGAAAGGGGGTGGCAAGACACTGGCAAGTTCCACAGAGCAGGGGCAGAAAGAGAGGCAAATTGGGCAGAAACATGAAGCAAGCTGCTGTTAGCTGAGCAGTTGGGTCAGTAGGATTGTTGGAGGTCACAGATGGGGGTCACAATCCTGGAATTTCAGGAGCACTATTATCCCAAATCCCTCATAGTAATGGTGGTCCCGAAATCACAGAATTGTACCCTCTCAATACAGGGGTAGGTTGAATAACGCAAGGCTATGGAGGGATTTGAATTCGAACTGTAGATACCGTAAATAGTAGTTCTTGTTCAGTTACAGAACTAACACGCTTGCACTAGCGTTGGACACAAGTAATCTCATTGTTCAATTTTTGGAATAAAGCAAAAACAAATATATCCCAATAAAGCAAATGAGACACTTTTGTGTAAAATGTTTTTAGTTTAGAATTAAGGAGTTGATTTTGTTTTTCATGTTTAAAAACATTTAGAGGCATGTGGATTTTGAGCTTCAGTAAAACAGATTTATAGTTTACCTGGATCATGATTCGTAACCATTGTGTAATGTCAGTGCTGATGCATAGCACTGGCCCTTACCATTGGGGACGACTTGAAGTTGCTCGTAGTATCACCTGTGTTGAAAGAGAAAACTCCTTAAAAAAAATACTGCAAACTTAACTTTTACATCATGTTTTTGTTGAATTCTCGTTTGTATTTAATGCTTTATGGTGTAGTTTTAAATGCTTTGATTATTTTGCAACTTGTGGGATTTTCAGTTCCTTGGGACATTCGCCCAGTGTGAAAGGTGCTATACATTTGTAATTTGTTTTTTTTTTAATTGTGTATGTTTGTGTGTGTGGAAAATAGAAAATATATACTATATGTATCCCTAACTCATGAGGCATTGGGGTTAGGACTATGAACTCAAATCACAACATTGGGTTTTGCCCAGAGGTCAGAAAACTACAAAGCTAACATTTTGTCTATGTGCAATTTTGTACTTAAATTCTGAATGCTAAACTTTCTAAATCTGGAATTATCAGCTAATAATCTTTCAGCAGTAAAAAGATTGCACTGTAATACAACCCCTCATTTTACTCTCCTTACACCTATTATATTCTTTTATTATTATTTATGGAAATCTTTGAACCAGGAGCGCCATCTAGTGAATGATTTGGCCTTTTAATTTTTTTTAAAAATTGTTAAAATATCTTTCATTTTACTGTTCTATTTCTCTTCCCACTATTATTCCATATTAGGCTTAAAGGTTTGCAACATTCTTAATGTACAACTGATCACTAAAGTTATATTCTAAGTCCATCCCACTGGAAGATCTATATAGACTAGTTTGACACTATTGCAGAAATTCACTGTTTAGGTTCCTAACGTTTGCTTTTCATAACATTACCATTTCACTTAAATGTGTACACCTCCAGAATACTGCTGCCTGATTATGGGAGCAATGATAATATATGCACAATTAAATTTTTATCTGCATATTATCTCTAGTATAGTTGAATCTATCACTACCAGTCCTTTCAAAAGTTCATTTGTCAGCACCAAGGAGAGATGAAATTACGTTTCTAGAGTTTTAGAAGGCCAGATTTGGTGTGTGAAAAAAGGCGTCCTATGATCAAAGGATGCTGTAGCCTAAATGGGAGTTTGTGAGGTGATATTAATTACCTAGAGAAGCAACAATTTGGTTGGACATGAGGCGCCATGAAGATTGTGATAGATCAGATATGTTTGGTAAAGTTGACTCTGATCTGAGAGAGTTCACACCATAAATCATTGGTATCAGCATTTCTTTGTTAGATTTTTCTCCAACTCAATTTCTCTACCTACTGAAAGTATTCTCACTTCCATGAACACCAGACATTTTCTACTTTTTCCCAATTATTGAACTTGGAGAGTGAATATTGGGATGTTTTCAGCTGCAGAATGGCAGCCAAATACCTATCCCTGCTTCCATACTCCTCTAGCAAAGTAGCTAAGTAGGAATGGGACCACTGACTGAAGATTGATTTTACCCTCTTTGGCCCAGAAATGCAGAAAATAATCAGTTTAGCTAAATTATCTAATCCCAGTTAATGATCTTTCAGTTGGCTTGTTCAACGTTGAACATTCAGCTGAAGTATTGCAGAAGTGTTAGATTAACCTTACTTAGCCAGGACCTTTTTGCCCAGCACCATTGTTTTGCACCAAACATTCACACTAAATTGCAGTTGTTAATGCAGTGCTTAAATAAGAGAGGCCCTGCATTCTATCATCTTTTGTGATTTGGTATGTCCTTTCCTTTCATGGGTTTGGGCAATTGTCTTGGTTCTGTTAACCTTCGTAAAGTAATCTATTGTGAGATATTCCTACAGTGAAACGTCTGGCCAGAGCATTTGCCTGGTCAGCTTTGGCCCTAACCCTGGTCTCCACTGGCACTGAGCTGACATTGAACTTTGCACACAGCCTAACCAGTTGCATGACACACACACATGATACACATAATATTAGATATATTTTTCTTCACACAAAGAATATTTTTTATTTACCTAGAGGTTAAACCCAGTTTCACCCACAAAATATACAATCAGTTCACTTTACAGTTTATTCTGTGAAATGTCTTGAAGACGTGATAAGGCGTTATATCAAATGCAAGGATTATTTATTGTGGAGTCCTGTAGCTCAGTGGTTAGAGTACTTGCCTAGCAAGCGAGAGACCTGCCAGACGAGTTCTCTAATGGTATTCATTCTAAACTCCTTCTGTTTGCTTACCGGCAGGGCGAAACGTTGGGCAAGTTTCCTTACTCCACACGTCTCTGTTTACCTAGCACTAAGTAGGAACCTGGTTGTTATTCGATTGGCGGATCGCTTTACTGGGAGTAATAATTCCTTTTTTAAAAAAAATTAGTCACTTCAATCCACGACTTTTTTTGATATACTGCTGTGTGCAATTGGCTGTCGCATTTCACCCACAAGATATGGAGTCAATTCACTTTACAGTATATTCTGTGAGGCGCTTTGAGACGCTATATCAAATGCAATGATTTTATTATTATTCATTATTAAATGCCTGGAACAGGCTGCCAGGAAGAGTGGTTGAGGCCAGGAAGGACAGTAGACTAATTTTAAAGAAAAAAACAACAGCTTGATGCAGTGATGGGAACATGGTCGGATTGGTATTCTGTAAGCATGAAAGAAAATGGGCTGAAGGGCCTTCTTCATCCAAACTGATTTTGTAGTTTTATGGTAGGCTTTTCCAACAAATTAGTAAGTTCTCAATAATCATACATCCACAAATTTAAACATCCTTTTATCAACAAACCCATGTGTCTTGAATTTCTAGAACAAATATAACCAATCTGTTTAGAAAATAGATTATAAAACCATTTGCTTCTTTTTCCAGGACAATGTAGATCGGACGACAGCACGCAGATCGAGAGAATTGATTGGAACTGGTTTTCAAAGTTCGTCAAGTCATAATTCACCCAACCATCAAGGTTAGTTTTTTTTAAGTCAACTGTAGTATGTATGAGGGATTGGTAATGCTGTTTTTTGAAATATTTGCTATATTTCATTCTGGTGCAGAACTGAGCATATAGAGTCCATGGGCCAATTGCAGAGTGAAATGGACAAGGCCTTGTCCACTAATTAGGAGTTTTTTTTCACTGCAGGAAAGAAACAGCCCTGGATGTTCTGCGGTGTTTTGGTACCTATTTGCTCCTTCATATTTTGAACAATTTGGGCAGTTTTTTCTACCTATGGTTCTCTTTGCCTCTTTTGCTGATCTTATTTGGTGCATTCACATTTGTTTTTGTGTTTGTTGTCTCATTGTTTCAATAGAACAATCTATTTTGAAGCAATATGTAAAGTGCTTCCAAGCCTGCATCATCTTGGATGCTTATGACTGCTGCCTGTGATCTGTCAAAACATTACTTCAACTAGTACAAAATGTTTCCATGCCTTCTGTAAAACTGAGTCAAAAAAAGTCAGTATTGTAACTACTATATTAAGCTAATGTATCAAATTAATATTTTTAAAATTATTAAAGTGTTTGAGAGGTGGCTAACACCTTTTGTTTTGCAATTAAAATAATAGGGAGTGAGAGGGTACTTATGAAATTGTACCTGTGTGTGTGTGGAGAGAGAGCTGTACATTTATTAATAGGAGATACAAATGTTAGTTTGTGCATTTCAGCATTAATTTCTGCAAATTAACTGCTGTGCTGTCATTTAAAGCAGAGCTCTTTTTAATGTCTTAAGTCAGTTGTTTCAGGCCTTCTGTGCAATGATCATATCAAGTCGGATCTTCTTCCCAATTGACATCATACGTGCCTCATTCCAATGACATCAACAATTCTGTTTTTACCAATATTGCACAATTCCAAAATTGCAAGCTTTTGCAGGAGGCTCTGTGAGCATTCAAGTTGTTGAAATTGTTGAAAAGCAATATTTTTTGTGCAAAGAATCAGTAAGTTCCAGCTCACTGGAGCAGCAAATTTTAAAGTTAGGATGAGAAGAATATTGTCTCCCAGTCTGTTTCTAATCTCAACCTTCATACATATTCCTGTTGCTATCAGTATGTCTGAATCCTTATGACATTTATGCACATCCATCTAATTTTAGTTATTTCCCTCTTAACCTCCCTGTCTGGATGCCTGGTTGGACTTGAGCTTTCTTAGATCGTTTTACTATTGATTTAGTTAGTTTCCCTTTTCATATTTTTCAACCTTATGCTGAACTTATTTCCCATCTCTTGATCAACATCAGGCCTCTCAACTGATTCTTATCTGCCAGAGAATTCCTCCTCCAAATCTAGTTTGTCTCCATAAACGTTTTATCCTCCAGCCCCACACTGTTTGTGCGGTGTTCCTCAGGGCTCTGTACTTGGTCCTCTCCTCTTCAACAACATGTACATGCTCCCTCTTGGTGACATCATCTGCAGACATGGAGTCAACTTCCACATAATAATAATCCTTGCATTTGATATAGCGCTTTTCACGTCGGGAGGACGTCCCAAAGCGCTTCACAGCATATACTGTAAAGTGAATTGATTGTATATTTGTGGGCAAACGCGGCAGCCAATTGCGCACAGCAATGTCCCACAAACAGTCGTAGATTGAAAATGACCAATTTATTATTGTTTTTGTTTTTGGAGGGATTATTATTAGGTGTGTGGAGTAAGGAAACTTCCCAAGGTTTCGCCCTGCCTGGAATTGAACTCAGGTCTCTCGCTTGCAAAGCAAGTGCTCTAACCACTGAGCTATAGGGCTCCACATGTATGCAAATGACACCCAACTCTATCTCTCTGCCTCCACCCTTGACTCCAGGACTACTGCTGTCCTGACAGATTGTCTGCCAGACACCAACAACAACAACAAGATTCCATTTATAGAGCGCCTTTCATGTCGGGAGGACGTCCCAAGGCGCTGGACAGTTGGGTCAGGACCCGAGCATTGGGGGGAAATGGTCAGGGTGAGGAGAGGGAAGGGAGGGAGCGAGGAGAGGGTAGAGAGTCGAGAGGGGAGCTGAAGGCACAGTCAAAGAGAAAGGTCTTGAGACCGGCTTTGAAGGAGGAAAGGGAGGAAGCAAAGTCATGGGGACTAAAGGTCAAAGGGACTAAACCTAGTCATGGACGAGAGCTACCTTTCTACAGTTGAACGTCACAAGGCTGAGGGCCCTCCTGATTGGCTCCCGTCAGTGCCACCACACCCCCGGCACTGGCAACATCACCTCCATGGATGCAAACTCCACTGAGCCAGACCGGAACCTTGACATCTTGTTTGACCCTCAACTGTCCTATATCCCATATCTGTGCCATGACCCAATCTACGTTCTCCCACCTCCGCAACATCACCTGCCTCCACCACTGCCTCTCCCCTCAGGCCACCAAGACACTCAACTGCACATTTATCACATCTAGGCTTGACTACTCCAACTCCCTGCTTGTCGGCCTTCCCAATTCTTCCTCCACAGGCTGCAGATCATCCAGAACTCTGCAGCTCATGTCCTCTCCCATACCAGGCTCTGTGACCCTATCAGCCCCACCCTCACCTGGCTCCACTGGCTCCCCATCCCCCAAAGGATAGAGTTCAAAATCCTCGTCCTTACCTTCAAGGCCACCCACGGCCTTGCTCCTTCCTCTGTGTCGTGCTAACTCCGTATTTACCTGTCCACTCCCTCCGCTATGCAGACTCTGGCCTGCTCCACATCATGTCACATTCCCTTCACCTCAATCCCTTAAAATTTTTAATATTTTAAAATATTTTAAGGAGGCAATGGCCTCCTTCAAGGCACGTCTACCCCTACCCTACCTGCCCTCCACTCCCCCGATCTCAATCCCTTGCTCGGGTCCAAATCCCTGACTGTCCAGCGCCATAGGACGTCCTCCTGACGTGAAAGGTTATACAAATGTAATTTGTTGTTGTTGTTGTTCAGAGACGGAAAATAGCAGAGGACTGCAAATTTGAAATGAATATGTTGGAAATATGAGTCTGTACAGTATCTGAAAGAGCATTTCTGATGGACTAGATTATTGGGCTGGAGAAAGCCCTTGATATAAGGGCAAGCAGAACTTTTTTGTTAGTCCGATATCCATACCAGACTCTGTTCCGCATAGTATGTCACCTTCTTATGGAAATTTCTATGTCTGGATTGAAATGCTCACTCTCCCTGGAGGGATACATCTGCATGATTAATTCCAGAGAGTATTGGCACAGGTTGGCAAGAGCCAAGACTTGGGGACTCCACAGAGTGTACCTTGGGGTATTGATGGAGTTTAACCTGCTGAAATCGCATAGTTTGCCACTGTGAGCACTATCTGGCAAACGTCTTGCTGCTTGTTCAGCTCGGACCACCTTACTTCTCAGGGCTTTGGGTTGCAGGTTTAATGGGTGCTGATTGAGAAGAATCCTTGCTCCCAGCTGCTGATCTGCTCGTTCAAGTCATGCCAATGAGCCAGGCTGCTAGCTTTTTCATTAGCAATACCTTGGACAACTTCTGAGACAGAAGATTGATTCTATTCTGACTTTCTGTTGCCAAGCATGTCACCTTGCTCATATCTTATCTCCCTTCACCCACTAAGGAGGATGGTCACCAGTTGGCTTGACAAGTGTAGGTTTGATCCCAAGTGCAGGATGTCTTGCTGCAAGGTTCCTGATGAATAGCCTCACATTAAATGTGCCAGCATCCTCCAACCCCAGCACAGACATGCAGAACTGCTTACCTCTCTGCATACCAATCGAGGTGGATACTAAGCGCTGGATATATGAGCGTGTGTTCACTAAACCTAACTCGGAATAACCCTCCAGGTGTCTTCGCAAGCCACAGAATTCCGTCATCAGCTATTCGACGGACATCTGCCTTCAACGTGGTAGGAGGATGTTTACAGGGCAGTTTGTGATGTGGGTGGGTGTGGCGTGGGTGGGGGGCGTGGGCTTGTGGTGTGGTGGGGTTGGGAGTTTGGTGTGGTGGGAGTTTTGGGTGCTTGGGCATTTGGTATAGCACCTTATCACGTCTCAAATCGTTTCACAGAATATACTGTAAAGTGGATTGACTGTATTTTGTGAGCGAAACGCGGCAGCCAATTGTACACAGCAGTGTCCCACAAACATTCGTGGATTGAGTGACCAAATAAAAATAATTTGAAGGGATTATTAACCCCGGAAAAGCGATCCACCAATCGACTAACAGCTGGATTCCTGCTTGCTGCTAGGTAAACAGAGTTGTTTGGGGTAAGGAATCTTGCCTAAGGTTTCGCCCTTCCCGGAAATCAAATCCAGGTTCTCTTGCTTGCGAGTCAAATACTTCAACACTAAGCTACAGGACTCTACAGGTACGCCAGAGCTTGGCTTCCCTCTGGTTGCTTTCCCTATTTACCACAAATCCACCTCACTGCTTAATCATGTACTTCACAAATGGCTTGAAGGAACTGAGTGGAAACCCCTCGGCTGCATGGCTGCAGCTTGGAACCATGATGGCAAGCATGGTCACACAGCAGACATGAGAAAGAAGTTAAATATAATTGCAATCTAAAAGGTGCACTTTATTAGAGAAGATGAAGGATCAGCTATAACATTCTAAAGCTGAATGTTAATAATACTTAATCTCACTATATTTGATTCTTGCCCGGGCTCTATCAAATTCTATCAAATTGCCTGGTTGCTTGTTCAGGCTGAACTGGTAGTGTTCAGTGTTGGTGTTCTGATTAACCACTTGTTTAAAACTCACATCTGGTTCATTCAAAGATAGTTTTCCATTTCTGGACCATTGTTTGCTTATGACCTTAACTCCCCATCACTGCTGCCAAAGCCCTTATCAAAGCTCTTTTGTCCCCTCAAGAATAGATTTGTTTTCTAATGCTCTAGTCCCCATCTCAACACTCCAGGATATTTTTACACTTCTGGGCATTTTTAAGCATTGAACAGTTGCAGTTTGGTTATACAAAGGCACTCCTTGGAGCAAAGTTTCTCCCACTGAACCTCTCCTGAAATAAATCCAAG